TTTTCAGTTTCAAATCACATTTCAGTGTGACAAACAATTCCACTGCATGCACAATTCTGAAATGGTTAGTACTGGATAATTCATTAAACTCCAAAAAATCTGATGATAGAATACTGACTTGGGTGAGAATAAGGCAGAACATCTTAGTGTCTCAGTGAGTGAAAATCCTTACCTGTAGGTCTCCTCAGATACTAATATGTCTAACCAGCTTACGTAATTCGTCCTTAATTGCAATAGACAACATCATAAGAGCTTAATTTTCTTAAGTTGTTGATTCTCTACTACTGTAGCCCAGTTAGGTGCTTTGACCTAGTGAAGAAAGAGAATCTGTAGAAACATGTTTCTTTTCATAAATACCACATAGTGATCAGCAGTGGGCATTGTTTCTTAATACCTCAAGGTACAATGGTGAACAAAAACCATTAGCCCAGGAGAAGAAATTTCTGTCAAAGTGAGTTTAAAGCATTAAAGTACTTACTGCTTTAAGAGTTATTTTAATCAACCTGTTCAGAGATGTCACACAGGTGGGACTTGAACTCAGGTCTCCTAGATCAGATAAGGGATACTGCTACTGCACAGAGGAGCTCTGGCTTTACTTGCTTTAATGATATTTTCTAAGCAACCAGTTTGGAGATGTTATTATACATATCTGAACCAGGTGGGACTTGAACCCAGGAAGGACACTACCACTGTGCCACAAGGGCTTTGGCTTTACTTGCTTTAAGAACAATTCATACAAATGGACAGCACTTGTACTTGAACACACAAGCAGTCAACTGAAACTCAGTGAAGTATCAATAAAGGAAAAAGAGCACCAAAAGGCAAAAGTCTTTAACTCTTTAAGTAAACAGAAAAAGCAGTGTGATCTAGAAAGAGTTTAAAATACTAGTCCTATCTGGAATTTAGAGACTCACCAGGAATCTGTAGGAGCATTTCAAGTTGGAGTTTCAGCTAGATAATGAATGCACCAGAGCTCCATGGCTAAAGTTAATCATCCCTGTTGGGCATAGGGAAAACTTGAATTAGTGGTGTGAAAGAAGTGCCGAGAAGCTTAGAAATAAATGTAAAAAGTGTACTTATAGCTCTCAATGAGCATTGCCATCATAGCGAATGGACATGACAAAGCATTGATATAGTAGGGAAATCAAGCAGTAAAGAAATCAAGCATTGCGGTAACAATGTCAGGAATGTCATTAAGCAGAATTAAAGCAACAAAAGGAATGATATAAAAGCTAAAGCAGAGAGTTGAAGAAAAAAAAGAAAGCAGTCACCAAGGCCCTATATAACTACAACAACGCATCCCTGCTCCTGTACTCGAAACCTTTTGCAATGAAGGCCAACATACCATTTGTCTTCTTTATCGCCTGCTGCACCTGTATGCTTACCTTCAGCGATGGGTGCACAAGGACACCCAAGTGCCACTGCACACTCCTCTCTCCCAATTTACAGCCATCCAGGCAGTAATCTGCCTTCTTGTTTTTGCTTCCAAAGTGTATAACCTTACATTTATCCAAATTATACTGCATCTGCCATTGATTTGCTGATTCACCCAACTTGTCCGGATCATGCTGAAGGATCCTTGCATTCTCATCACAGTTCACCCTCCCACCCAAACTGGTATCATCTGTAAACTTTGAGATATTTCATTTTGTTCCCTTATCCAAATCATTATTATATATTGTGAATAGCTGCAGTCTCAGCACCAATCCCTGTGGCACCCTACTAGTTATTGCCTGCCAATTTGAAAAGGGCCCATTAATTCCTACTCTTTGTTCCTCTCTGCCAACCTGCTTTCTTCCCATCTCAATACACTTGCCCCAATCCCACGTATTTTAATCTTGCACAATAATTTCTTATGTAGGACTTTGTCAAATGCTTTCTGAAAGTCCAAATATGCCACATCGACTGGCTCCCCCTTGTCAACTCTACTAGTTACGTCTTCCTAGAATTCCAACAGATTGGTCAAGCATGATTTCCTCTTCAAAAATCCATGCTGACTCTGTCTGATCTTGCCATTGCTTTCTAAATGCTCCGCGATAAAGTACTTGATAATGGATTCAAGAATTTTCCACTCTACCAATGTTAGGCTTATTGGTCTATAATTCCCTGTTTTCTCTCTACCTCCCTTTTTGAATATTGGAGTGACATTAGCTACCCTCAATCTTCACGGACTGTTCCAGAGTCTATAGAATCCTGGAAAATGACCACCAATGCAGCCATTATTTCTAGAGCCACTTCCTTAAGTACTCTCGGACATAGATTATCAGGCTCTAGGAATTTATCTACCTTCAATCCCATCAACTTCCCCAGCATCATTTCTGTACTAATACTGATCTTCCTCAATTCTTCCCTCTCACTAAATCTTGCATTCTCCAACATTTCTGGTATCTGATTTGTGTTCTCTTTTGTGAAGACAGAACCAAAGTATATATTCAGTTGCTCAGCCATTTCTTCATCCATTTTACATTCCTTGTTTCTGTCTGTAGGGGACCTACATTTGTCTTCACAAACCTCTTTCTCTTCACATACCTATAGAAACTCTTAGTGTCAGTCTTTATGTTCCCTGCAAACTTACTTTTGTACTGTGTTTTCCCCTTCTTAATTAATCCCTTGGTCCTTCTTTGCTGAATTCTAAACTGTTCCCAATCCTCAGATATATATGAGATAACAAGGTGTAGAGCTGGATGAACACAGCAGGCCAAGCAGCATTAGAGGAGCAGGAAAGCTGACATTTTGGGGCTGGACTCTTCTTCAGAAATATATCTATATATATTTCTTTGGCCAATCTATATACTTCTTCCATGGATTGGATACTGTCTCTAATTTCCATGGATTGGCCCTCTTACCCATTTTGCTTTTATGGCAAACAGGAATAAATAGCTGTTGCAGATCCCCCATGCATTCCCTTGAATGTTTGCAATAACCTATCCACTGTCATCCCTTTAAGTAACTCTCAACAATCTATCAAGGCCAACTCATACCTCATATCTTCATAGTTTTCTTTATTATTCAGCACCCTAGTCTCCAAATCAACTACCTCACTCTCTGTCTTGATAAAAAAATTCTATCATGTTATGGTCGCTCTTCCCCAAGGGGTCTCGCACAGCTCGATTGGCAATGATAATCTTCTCATCTCACAGTACCCAGTCTAAGATGGCCTGCTCTCTAGTTGGTTCCTCAATATATTGGTCAAGAAAACCATCCTGTATACACTCCAGGAATTCTTCCTCTATGGCATTGTGGCTAATTTGATTTGCCCAATCTACGTGCAGATTACAATCACCCATGATCACCAATATTCCCTTATCACATACATCTCTAATTTCCTGTTTAATGCCATTCCCAACATCACCACTGCAGTTTGGGGGTCTACATATATATGACACACTAATGTTTTTTGCCCCTTGGTTTTTCTCAACACTACCCATACAGACTCCATATTGTCGGAGCTAATATACTTTCTCATTATTGTGTTAATTTCCTCTTTGGCCAGCAAAGCCACTCCACCATCTTTTCCTTTTTGCCTGTCCTTCTTAAATACTGAATACCTGTGGAACATTCAGTTCCCATCCCTGGTCACCCTGCAGCCATGTCTCCATAATCCCAATTATATTGGATCCGTTTACATCTATCTGCGTGATTAGTTAATTCACTTTATTGCAAATGCTCCGTACATTAAGACACAAAGCCTTTAAGCTTGTCTTGCTCTTATTTTTCTCAACAGCCCTGTTTGAATTTCGTCCTTGGTTTTTCTGCTCATCACTTTTCTTATTTCCTTTTCTACCTTTTGTTTTTGTCCTTGATCTGTCCTTCTGACTCCTTACATAGGTTCCCATCCCCCTGGTATGTTAGTTTAAACTTTCCCTGATCATTCTAGCAAACATTCCCCCAGGACATCAGTCCCAGTCCTGCCCAGGTGTAACCCATCCAATTTGTACAGGTCTCACCTCCCCCAGAACCTGTCCCAATGCCCCAGGAATCTGAAACCCTCCCCTGATACCACCTTTTCAGCTATGTATTTGTCTGATATATCCTGTCATTTCTACTCTAGCACATGGCACCAGTAGTAATCCTGAGATCACTACCTTTGAGGTCTGATTTCTTAACTTTCTTCCTAGGTCCCTCTATTCTGCTTTTAGGACCCCATCCCTTTTATTTAAACCTATGTTGTTTGTACCGATGTTACCATTAAAATTTAGCTTCTTTGCATTAAAATTCAATAGTGGTTGATCTTTTATCACAGTTAGGCCCTTGGAGACAGTCCACAAAAGAACATTGGTGACAGCATCCGTCAATCCACAATATCAAAACAACATCGCCATTTTGACCACAGTACCAGTTTTGTGGATGGAACCCAATTCAGACAATGAAATCCTGAATTAGCATAAAATAGCACTGAAACCATAAAGGCAATTTTTTGCTGAATGCATGCTTAAAAATGACTCAAACTTGTGTTCAAACTTTCTTGTCGAAGACTTTCTGGAAATTCAAATAGATCATGTTCATTGGCTCTGCTTTACCTAACTTGCTTGTTACCTCCTCAAAAGAATTCTAACAGATTTGTCAGGTGTGACATCCCCTTGATGATACCATGCTGACTCAGCCCTGATTAGTATCCTCATTTAGTATGCAATTATTTCTATCACTTTCTACAGATTCTACAAATGTGCAGGATCTTTTCTCTATTGGAAGCCCTGCAACCGTGACACGTCAGGCTAATTTTGAAGTTAGAAACTAAAAATAATTCATATTGTGTCAGTATATCTCAAAGTATTCTATTGCCAGTAAATTACTTAGAGAATTTGTTTTAAAGCATCCTGAGGGAAAGTGTAGCAGCCAATTTGTCAAAACCAGGTTTCACAAACAGCAAGAGGAAAAAATAGTATGTTTTTGGCATAACTGTCCCAGGATTTAGGATTGGCCAGGCTAAATCAGACTTGATTTTGATATAAATGATTTTTGACTGGTACCAGTTAGTGAACAAATCTAAGAAACACAAATTTTATGTATATTATTCATTCTTTAATTTAACATTAGGCAATCTACAACAGTCCAGTGATACAAATAAAAAAAAATTCTATTTGAACATTTTGAAGTGCAAGTAATCAAGCAATTGCCATCTGTTAATTCTTCCAAAGCATAACATGACAACACATGTGTGCAGAAGCATTTTACAGTATAGAATTCTAATTTTCAATATAATTACTGGGCTTTAAATTACTATAACAGTGGCTTTTATGTATGGCATTAAATCTGGGTATTTAATGAAAAAGGTATTTGCATCTTCCTTTTCAACTTCATCAGTCTTTGATTAATTCTGTGCGATGCTCATCCCAAACAAATCACTAGCATTTTTTCATTGTCCAAAAAGTCTGTCCATGTGCGAATTAAACAAGCTGTTATTAAGAACAGTGTAGATGAATATAACAGTTTATTATTTTGCATATTGACCAGTTTCTGTACAAGGACAACTTGTATTTCAACAATCTCCAGCAGAGTATTTGAATTCATATGTAACAACAAAACTGCCAATGTATGCAATGCCAATAGTGCTTCCAAAATATGGATTCAGGTTATTCCAAGTTCCAACTTCAAAAAACAAGCCCAAATGTCTAATTTAATGCATTTTGGAAAGAGGAAGAAGTACACTTACAACATATGAAAGTTGTATGCAAAATCTCAATTTTGAGTCAGTTGATAAAAGCACAATTGAAGTCACAAACCAATATTAGTTCATGAGAATAAAATATCAAGTTGGACTTTTGCAATGGGTCAACGCATAATACATTACAAAAATGAAACATATATAAACAATGACTCAGGAATGGTTCAGGTTATTTATCTGGCCTATTCAAAGTTTGATGACTTTAGCTAAGATGGCACCACAATTGTCTCTCCAAGTTTGACAGTAAAGAAAAAGGCTAGGGGCTCAATTTATAATCATGTCTCGAGTGCTTTGATTGAAGCAGATGCAATATTGCCCCAGTTGAATAGTGCGTTTACGTTCACTGCTTAGGTTAGATAAGAAGAGTGTCAATGGATATGAATCCCTGAGGGCGAAGAAAGCATAATCATCAGTTGTTCAGGAGGAATAAACTTAGTGTCATGCCCAGTAAAGCATATCATATCATATTCATAATTTTAATGATGGACTGTATTCAGTATAGAATTTCTGGAATGGATTTTACTTATAAAAATGGATATTAAATGTCTACTAATTTATAAGTAAAAGGTCAAAGGTTCACACCATTGATGGGGATGTACTAAGCAGCATCTTAGGTTTGTTTCATACATTCTCATCAATTGTGTGAACTTTTGACCTTTTACTTATAAATTCTGTGTCTGATACTACCTCTCTCACTAGCACCTGAAGAAGTACTAGACTCTGAAAGCTTGTGTTTTCAAATAAAGCTGTCAGACTATAACATGGTGCTGTGTGACTTTGGACTATGTATATTAGAGCTGATATTACAAACTTTATAACAATTGGTAGTAATTAACATCCAAAGGTTAGCAATTAAAAATTTCATAACAAAATTTGAGGAGTCATTATTAATAAGCAAATATACGATGCAGCTGGCAAATGTCTGGGAAGGGATATAACAGTCAGTGTGATCAATAAGATGGACTGTAAGGGCCCCAGGTCAAGTGACAGAAAGTCTGGCAAACTTCCCATAAGTTGTCCATCATTGATAATGTATTCACAGGATTGGATGTGTAGGTCAGAGCGGAGGTGGCGAGCACTGATGTTCATGTTGCATGTAACCATTGTAATGTGGAATGTTACATCCTGTACTTTATTGGGAACGGTAGAGTGTCCTGGAGACCTCGTCCACGCTGCGTTGGTTAGGAGCTCCAAACAAAGATTGATTTGCACTACTGAACACAGACTCAGGCTCCTCTTTAAAATTCCTCTCCAACACCTGCTCAAATTTGTTCTTAGGTAACTCATTTTATTATCTTGCAAACCAGAGAAAAACCAGTAATTGTGTAAGTGACATGAAACAACAGCAAAATTGGAAATTCGTAAGCCTTAAAACTGGATATTGCAACAGGTAACATAACCAGCCTGTTGCTTCTCAAATCCAGCAGTACACAAACTTTACCTCCAGGTAAGAAGACCACATGTGACTAACTTCATGATGTGCTGAAAATCCATTTGTTAAGAGAATCCTGCAACATTTTTGCTATACAACTTCAGGTATTGAATCCACCTAGACTATCCTTCTAGAGTGAAGATGCCTTCTTCACTAAGCCCACAATATATGCTTTCTCCCCCAAGACAAGTTAAACACATGAATTACAAACTATTATTTTGTTTATTGACTTAAAGTGTAATATTCTCTAACTGGATTTTTCTTGAACACACGTGATGTGTTAGACACCCCCTTGGGTGAACAGGAAAATAAATAATCCTCTTCATTTAAACTCATGAAGGCCTGCTGTTATTTTCTAAGAGTTAATGGCAAAGAAATAGACATTATCCTTTTTGAAAACGTATTATTTACAGGCAAGCAGGGAAGGGAATTGGTGTTTCAGTTCTCTCTCCTCCCTGTTTGTAACAAAGGATAAAGAGAAGGTGAAAGACAGTGATAGGAATTGCTACATGTAATTATTTTTCTTTTTACTGTTTTTGCGGTATTACTTAATATGCACCTTCCTTTCTAGAAAGGACAGACTAAATAATCTGCTGCAAACCTTTGTTCAAAGTTGCTAGGAGGGGCAAAAGATATTTGATTTCTGAATTTCCTTACCTTCTAAAGTGCACAGCTTAAATTTTTGTAATCCTGTTGTGCATCAGAATCAACAACTCAGTATGAGGAACTGAGAATCCAACTTTGGAAATACTTAACAGGTACTGGCTATCATCATTTACAGAAGAAAATGAAGGACTGACATTCAGATGAACCATTAGTAGCTAATGATTACTAAAGGAAATCAGGGAATTTAAAGTGATATTAGCAGTTCCAGCTAATTTCCATTCAAAATACAGAGGGAGCATGGTCATTCAATAGCAGGCATTGTAAACAAAATTTTCTGAAGTACTTTGAATTAAAAAAAACTCATTGCATTCCTACTGCGAGAGAAGCAAAAGGAATATAGATTAGCATGTATGGTTTTTGGAGTCACTACCAGAAATGTATTGAGCCATTTTGTGAGCAACAACATTTATCCTTATTGAGGTATAGGCTGAAGGGAGAGAAAAGACCTGGGACTTGAAAATGCTAAAAGGTATAGAAAACATGGGGACAAACAGATAATACAAGCTTTGCTGCTAATCCAGAACTAACAAATTGGGTTCAAGTTTAAGGGTCTGAAGCAAGATTAGAAGTTAAAAGTAGCTGTAGATAATTGAGTAAACTATACTTAAAAATGATTCTTATGCTGATTAATGTATACAAAAAATAGCTGGATAAATAGTAATTTAGGAGGACAATGGTTGTCAGCAAGTATAGACAAACATAACAAAGTATGTAACTGAACCACATGGTCAAGCAGACACCACCTTCAGAGTTCAACTGGTCAGCAGTGAAAATCATGGGGAGCACTGCATTCTCTTTTTGATCATTTTATTTTGAGGTTTTAAAATTTCACATTTCTTGGGAGTTTTGTCTTTAATTATGGCAGATTATTTTAAGTCTGTTCAGAAGGAAGGCTTAAATGAGCCAAATTTTCTTGTTTCATGTCAGTTTTTCCTTAATTGACCAGCATAATTGTATTCCATTTTTCTCTCCCTTTTTAATGATATGTCTGCTTTTGAAAGGGATTCGTTTGTATCAGTAGGCCCACATTTAAGTCCCTGCTCCAGATGCGTGTTGTGCAATGTCTGAACAGGTTGATAAAGAATAGCAATGCCTGCTTTTGTCACTGTTCTCCACTATTCCACTGGACAGCAAGCTTGAGATTAGAAGTTTGCTGCATGGCATTTTTCAGGGTGCAATATAATGCAATGCTTTGATGTCTGATATTTAATTTTTACCCATGTCTGTTTTAATGTGTCGATATATTTGCATACCTCCGCTCTAAAGCAACCACCAATGCTTCTTCAATTCTTGTCTAAGTTTTACCAATACTTGGGTGTTTTCTTGTTTCAGATTAAAAGAGCTCATTGCAGATAATGCATCACCGATTAAAGAACTCAGCAAAGTCTCCACAAAGTCAGAAGCCTGAATAAAAAAAGTGTGAAAATCTATTTTATGACCGATTAGAAATGTGATATTACAGACTTCATAACTTTAATTACTGTTCATGGGTTGAATGAATCAACAAACTATTACACACAGCAATAACTCTGTCTGGAATAAACTATTAAACAACAAAAACAGGCTGTCACACAGAGACTTAAGCAATTAGACATGTCTTTGCAAGATTACATAAACAAAACTGCTTTGACACCTGCTTGATAAACGGGATTCTTTATGCCACAAGGACGACCGATTGCCCTGCAGAAGAATTTAAGGAGTTAATCAAAGGAAAGTGGTGTCTTCAAACAGTCAATGCCAAATCTAACAAGAAACAATGAAATTACTTTTGATGAGGAAGCCAGCTGCAGTCTTGCAGTAACTTGGATGAAAGACTCTAAAGAAATCATCAATATAACACCTCAGAGACCAAAGGAAAATCTGAATAAGAACCAAACACCAGAACAACTCGATAGCAGAACTTTGAAGAACAACACTGCAGAAGGTCTGAATCCTGGAAACCTCCAGAGACAGGTTGAAGTCCTGGCCAGATTTTGCCATGAATCAAGTATATAGCTAAGTTGGGTCACAGTCTTATACTTGGTTACTTGACGGGTCTAATATCCAAATATTGCTACTTGCAATAAAGTTTGAATTATTGTTTCAGTACTGGATTGTCTCTGAGATTTCTAAACAAGTAGCCAAATTAAAGGTAACTTGCGATTTACCCAAAATAGAAAACTTGTAAAAATATTATCATTTTCAGTTATTTTAAGATAAACCAGGATAGTTCAGCTCATGTAAGTATACATTACATTATAATCTCTAAATTTCTCCCTTAATTCCCTTTCTCCACATTTCTATACTTCCTTTCTCAATGTGCTCAGTGGTTCTGTTGTACATTTTCATGGGTATTGAGCTTGCAGCACCTTGGCAAAAAGGACATTTATATGTGAACTGAGTGAAAGTGGAGGCATTACTGCTGAATCTACAGCAGAGGTCATTGGAATGCTCAGCAATGGGAATACAAGCCATTTTTCTCCCACTTTCCCAGCTTGAAATTTTGAGCACAGTTGTTCTATCTTTTCTTTTATCATTGCCATCATCAGTTAAGAGAGCACATGACAGGAATCATACCATTGGATTTTTTTTAGGAATCTAATTAATTTTCTGATCTCTTGGGAGTGGCTCAGAGTATATATTGCGCTGCGTGTCCAGCATTAATTTAAACAGCAATGCATATCTATCACAGATATATTTTGTTATCTTATGATCAACACATTCATACTTACACAAAACTACATTAAATACATATTCTAAATCTCTGGAAAAGAAAACCCTGAAGCCTAAAGAATCAATTAATTTCTCCATACCTGGCTTATTACAAGGATCCGACCCTGAGCAAGAACTTGGAGTAAGTGTGTCATGTGAGCTATTGTAATTGTTTGAATTCCAATGTTAGATCCCACTACCAAGATCACCAGTTCAGGTCTGTATCCATATGCCAAGGGTAGAATAATCTCAAAGACTGAATAAAGAAGATCCCCATCCCATTCATTATCCTGTGAAATAGAGTCAAAATCAAAATTGCTTATTCAAAAGAATTTGAAAATGTGATTTTCTGACCTTCATGTAAAATTGAAAGCTTCCTCTCTTTAAGACTGTTACATCTCTGCATTAAGGAGGAAAATTTCAGGAGTAACCATCATATGCAAATAGTGTCTGCTACATTTTGATTATTGCTGCACTACTCAGCAACAGTCAAACACAAAAATCACTTTTTTATTTCCCTAACCTGTAAAGGAGGGCTCCTCAGTGGGGCTCAGAATACCCTGGGGTCACAAGGTCTAAGACAGCTATGGGGTTCCAACCGAGTTATAACTGTATGCTTCCTCTCTACCAGGTTCCCCCTTTAATATCTCCCCCTTCAACCTACCCCACTCTCACAATTCTTACTGAAGGAATGTGACAATTTTCAAGCCTCAGAATCGGGTCATAGTGGAAAAAACCTTGGGAAACACTACAGTAAGGATGTCCTGCCTCACTCAGGTTTTGTTTAATGCCACTGCAACTGCAGGGGGTGCAGTCACCAGTGTGCAGCTGCAGTGCCTGTGATGTAGCTGCTAGTGATGGAAACATTGGAAATGGACTTCTAAAATGCAGTTAGATCTTTGTTGGATGGGAAAGCATACATCAGATGAAGGTTGAGTTATGTTTGTGCAGCTTGTAAAGGTTCTAAATTTGCACTTTTTTGCAGTGGAAAAACTAACAATTTAAATCCACACAACAGCGCCATACAAAAGACTTACATATTTCACATGATTTGTCAAGCATCACAAGAATACTTGCTGATGACAGCAAAAAGTGAAGTAGTCTAATATGATAGTCCTCAATTTGGATAGCTTGGATTATCCTATTTATGAAGAAAATAAACGAATGTACATATGATGCACATTATATATATTTTATTCATATTTTGATTTTCATTACTGCACCATAATATTTCATAATTTAGTAAAAGTGCAGTTTTCATTTTGATAATGAGCATTTTTCATAAAGTTAAACTGTCTATCCGTTAGGGCCTAAATAATTTGTATGACAAACATCCTTCTCAAACAGTAGATGCATAAATTTTTGGATAAGTATGCACATCAAACCATCCTGACTTTTCCAATGGGTAGTATAGCACAGCAGCATCTTCTTCAGCACAAAGATTCAGACTCCACAATTTGTGCCAATTTGTTTTGGCCCCAAATCTCTACAAGGGTAGATAGATGGGATCATGTTGTGGTGAGGAGCAGTGAAGCTGCCCAGATAAATAATCAACTTTCTGCTGCATTCTACTAAAACAGTTAAACAATTTGTCAACTATGCTTCTCAATTGGAAAACATTATCATTACATCATCAGATTTCTTTGGATCGTTGCTATAGCAAACAAATAACTCCACCAATTCCCACTTCAATTGCTTCAATTATCTTGCAGGAGATATAGTAATTTAGGGGATATCTAAGCAGACAATGGAAACAAGGATCAAGTTCGGAGTTGCGTAGTAACAGGCAAAATAATAGGATATTAATTTCTTGCCTGAGTAATTACGGGAAGCATCTCAAGACAGTCCTTTCATGGGCTTCCATTCATCACTTCCGTATAAACTTGGTCTAATAATATACAATGGACAATCTGATATCACCTTCCTGGTTATCTTCGCTCTTACCGGGACACCTGTTACCGATTTCCTGCAAGTATATGGGAACATTGTAGATGAACCCTTGTATCTCTACCAATTATAGGATTCTGGTCTGTTTCATGGCCCAAATTAAAGTTTTGAACTCATTTCATCACCTCAAATCACTCCAATTTAGACCTGAATCCTGCAGGGTCCTCTGTGATTATTTACATATTATCCAGGAAAGAGATCCAGATCTACTTCCATTTTCCTGGATCGTCCTGAAGAGAAAGTCTGCATACACCCAAGAAACAAACTCCCAATGAAATCAAAGAGATGTAGACTATGATGTAAAGTGCACATACTACAATGGGGTAATTCATGGGAAACGCAAGTACTTTTATGCAAGGATTAAGTAGTTTCCCTGGTATTAACATATTATTCCTGAAAGCTTGAACTGCAATCTGGTGAGTGTAAATGACTTTACTAAACACATTAAGCAAATCTAAATTATCCAGTCAGTGCAGCATAAAACATTTTTCCAGATAGAAACCAGTTTACATACACTAGATAAGCTATACCGAATAGTATTTCCATACACACCTCCTTCCAGCAGACTGGAATGTAGTACTTGTTTAGCTTCTTCTCATCCTGTTTACCATACATGTGCAGCACAAGAATTTTTCTGAAAATTACATTTCAAAAGATGTTAAGATATTGCATTTTTTTAAAACATAAAATCAACTAGCTCTAGTCCACCAGATTTTTAATTTTACAATCTTTCAACTGACTGGATTTGAGTAAACTGGGCAGGGCATTGCAAGGATCAGCAACATACTGGTCATTTATACAGACACAATAGTATCCAAATGTAATCGTGTGGGAGCCACCTGAATATACAAATGTTCTAATGATACTTCTTTTCATTGTTGGGGGAGTTGAAATCAAATTTTTAAACTCTGTCCTCTATGCATCCTTTTTTGAGGATAAAGACTGCCAATTGTTAAAATGTTAATGCATATAAACAAGGTCCCAAATGACTTTAGGACAGAAAAGGCCGAAAAAGGTAGGATAAAAGTAAGGTGTAATTCTTGCTCCTGATTATATACAATACTCTTGTACTAGGAAGTGCCTGTTTATGTTGACTTCAGGCCTTCACTGTTGGCATGCCTCCAGCCAGGGGTCCAAATAATTTTTCATCTTCCCTCCACCCCACACCTCGCCTGGCAAAACAATTGCTCCCTGTGGGCCTTGTCCACCAGCGTTACTCACTTCTCACTTATTAGTTTATCAGCAGCAAACACAGGGAAGAAGCAAGATGTGATTGGAAGAGCAACTCAATTCAAACTTTCTCAGTTCCAAATACAAAGGAAGATTTTCCTCTGATTGTTCGCCCCCAATTCACTTTTCCTGGTCAGAAGTCACATGACACCAGGTTATAGTCTAACAGGTTTATTTGCAATCACAAGCTTTCGAAGCGCTGCTTCTTCTAATCCACCTGACGAAGGAGCAGCACTCCAAAAGTTTGTGATTTCAAATAAACCTGTTGGACCACAACCTGGTGTCATGTGACTTCTGACCTTGTCCACCCCAGTCCAATACTGGCGCCTCCATATCGTAACTTTTCCTGGGCAAATGGAACGCTTTCTGGTAAGAATTCATCCATCAACGCCATGAACATTTTGAGCTTTGCCTCTGACAGTCATACTGCGTTCTAATACTGATGCTCATACATTGCTAATAGCCATTAAGCTGAAATACCATAAGGCTCCTCCAAGGGAGGACATTTTGGCCAAAGTAAATAAAAGTCAGCAATGAAAGTTTGTGATAATTAGCTCAACTTCATTTAGCAGTGCTCTTTTTGAAAACACATCTTTGTTTAATTTAACCTCTACCCCCACACATCACTGCTCTGCTAAAGGAAGGATTTCTGGATTGGAGGGGCTTTCGTTGACTGGCACTGGCTTTCACTCGGTCTTTTCCCCCTGCCCATTATTCACATGATCAATTATTCACCATGAGTCAATACCATCTTTTCTTCCTGGTGATTTTGCACTTTTATCTAAGTTCCTTGAACTGTTAGTAAAGGCAGGAAACTCTGTCTATTTTCTTCTCTATAACCTTGCACTAAAGATGCATGGGATCCACAGTGACTTGGCCACATGGATTCAGAATAGCTTGCTTATAGAAGGCAGAGGGTACTGGTGGAATGGTGTTTTTCTGGCTAGAGGTCCATGACTAGTGGTGTTCCGCAGGGATCTGTACCGGGACCTCTGCTGTTTGTGATTTCTATAAAAAACTTGGATTAAGATGTAGATGGGTGGGTTAGTAAGTTTGCAGATGATACAAAGATTGGTGGAGCTGTGGATAGTGTGGAGCTTTGTCAAAGGATACAGCAGGATGCAGATCAGTTGCAGATGTGGGCAGAGAAATGGCGACAGAGTTTAATTTGGTAAGTGCGAGGCACTGCACTTTTGGAGATCCAATGTTAAGGATATGTATACAGTTAATGGCATTGATGTACAGAGGGATCTTGGAGTTCAAGTCCATAGCTCCCTGAAAATGATCACGCAAGAAGATCGGGTGTAAGCAAGGCATACGGTATGCTTGCCTTTATTGGTAGGAGAACTGAGTACAAGAGTCAGGATGTCATGTTGCAGCTTTATAAGACTTTAGCTAGGCCACACTTACAGTATTGCATTCAAATCTGGTTGCCACATTACAGAAGGTATGTGGAGCCTTTGAAGAGGGTGCAGAAGAGGTTTACCAGGATGCTACCTGGATTAGAGGGTAATAGCTACAAGGAATGGCTAAATAAAAATCTCAGGTTGTTTTCTCTGGAACAGTGGAGGCTGAGGGAAGATTTGACAGAAATCTATAAAATTAAGAGAGGCGTAGATAGGGCTGGCAGTCAGAATCTTTTTCTCAGAGTTGAAATGTCTAATACTAGGGGACGTACATTTAAGGTGAGGGGGGAAAGTTCAAAGGAGATGTGACGAGCAAGTTTATTTTTAAAACACAGAGAGTGGGAGGAGTCAGGAACGTGCTGCCAGGAGTGGTGGTGGAGGAAGATACGATAGCGGCGTTTAAGGGACTATTAAATACGTACATGAAAATGCAAGGAGTGGAGGGATATGGACCAAAGGCAGGCAGAAGGAATTAGTTTAATTTGGTGTCACGTAAAGGCGCTTTCCTGTGCTGTACAGTTCTATGTTCTAAAGCTAATTTTTATATGGTTACTATGCTGCTGCCAAGACTCTTCTTGGTTGAGGTCAGCTAATTCAAAAAAATGGTGAAGAAACCTTCCATAGCTTCATGACTGTGCTATGCAATGAAGTGTTCTGGATTCAACAAGGAGCTCCAATAAACTTTTGGAAATATTTACAAGTTGCTCGGAAGGAAACTTTCATTCTAGGTGTAAGAACACATTCTTAACAACATGAACATTTTAAAGTAATAAGATTTTAAACATGATTTGCAGATAAACAAAGGGAACATACTCATCCTCTTTAATATCAATTGGAATATCTGCTTCTCCAAGCTGCAGAAGCAAAACTCTTTAAAAAAAACATAATTTACAACATTAGTAGACAAGTCAATTTCAATGTTTAAACAGTAACCAAAGTGCTAATATAAAGATTAGACCATATAAGTTATGTCATAACTACAAAGAACTCGCTAGGTTACTTTTTGAACTGATTATTCATCTTGCCACTGCGACCCATTAAAAAGTAATGAAGCTAATTAGAAGGACAATAGAAAATAGCAACAAGATTGTTCCCAAACATAAATGGAATATTAAATCAGCAGAGAAATAGAAGATTTAAAATCTATTAGGGCGTTAAATGATAATCAGATTCACCACATATTTATCCAATTTAAAGAAAAGAAAAACCAGACCAGACTTGAAGAGATGCTTAGAAACCTGTGAAATTAAATCATAAGAAAAGTTTCCTAATTTAAAGAGTGACAAATGTTTACCTCAGTCAACTTACCAGCAAACATTTTCCAAAAAGCATTGCATGCATTCCAAATAAAACTTTAGGCAATGACAGGGGAGCTTTGGACATCAATAAATTGCTTTTACCTACTGTGACTGCTTGGTCCTCATTCATTGAGGTCCAGCAGTAACTTCAACGATTAACAAACAAGTGACTCTGCCAGTTTACAAGTACACAATCACAGTATCCTTTGCCAGTATTTTGAGTTTGTAATGAATGGCAATAGTCAAGTGTGATCTCTAGTCTGGACTCATTTAGCTGCTCTCAGTGAGGTGGGGGTGGGGGGCAGTACCAGGGAACTACAGTTAAATAAGAAATAGAAGCAGAAGTAGGCCATTTGGCTCATTGAGCCTGTTCTACCATTCAATACAATCATGGCAGATCTCCGTCATCAACTCCACCTTCTCTGCTACTCCCCAATTACCTCAGTTCCTTGAGAGTCCAAAATTCTTTTCATTCCAGCCTTAAATGTATTCATTGATGGAGTACTTAACACTCTCTGAGATACAGAATTCCAAAGGCTCTCAATCTGAGATACGTAATCTCTCTTTACTCAGTCCTAAACGATCAGCCTCTATCCAAGACAGATTGCACATGGCACTAAATTTGGCGAAGCAAATGGCCCTAGTTGTGCTCTGGATTGCTGTTCAAAATTCCCTGCTGGAAGCACTAATTGCTCGAGAGGAAACACTTGCGTCTGAACTGCAAACAGCTAGAATCTGGATGAGATGCTAGACAAAAAGTGATATCATTGTAGTGGTTACTTTCAGAACAGCAGGCAGCAAGTGCTGAAAATTGCAAAAAGAAAAGGAAAAAACAGTTTAACATTTATATACCTGCTTGCTCCACCTCTGAGAGCATAACGTGCTGCAGATACACCAGATGACTGTGTAGAACATACCACAATACCATTTCTAACCTATGCAACAATAAACAAAGGTTATTAAACCACCATTCTACAATTACATGTTCACTGGATGTTGCTTCAGCAAAGAACGTAATGCTCAAACTATTAAGAAAATCACCTACATGGATGTGGATATATAACATAACTATTCTCAAAAACAGAGAACATTTTTTTTTCCTGTTATAACCTGCATTTATTTTGTGTCTTTAATCTAGCAAAGCTTCCCAGGGTCATCATCAGCCAACATTTGATACTGCTCCTTAAGGCGGTATTAGGATGGGTAACCAAAAGCATGGTCAAAGAGGTAGCTTTAAAGGGGCAACTTGAAGGGAGGTCAGATGGGTACACAACTGGAGAAAAGTCCCAGAGCTTAATGCCTGGATTGTTGAAAGCAGACCCGCCAATAGAGAGATGCAGCAAAAAGCTGAGGACAAAAGACAGAACTAAAAATACTGATTGCTCTAGGACTGGTGCCAGTTGCACAGCTACAGAAGGGGCTCACAGGGAGATTTGAACAGAAGAACAGGAATTTTAAATTTAATGCGTTAGAATTCTGAAAAAAAAAACCAAGAATCAATAAAAATATTTTATAGCACATTAAAAATGTTAGCCAATATTGTTCATAACCATAACATTAGCTCAAAAATCAAAGATGTTAACAAATTCTGTTGACAATGTGATCTGACTTCATAATTCATAAACCAGTACATTTATGGCTAGCATTCCATTAGGATTTTCAACATTAAAGTGTTATCAAGCAGCATACCACATTATGTTCTTTACAGTTCAGTACAGATGTGAGCACATGCAAGTTTATGACTGCATCATAAACCAGAGATTAACATGTGCAACTTTGAACGTGCTCCTCAGAATTAAATTTAATGGAAAGATATTTTTGCTACTGATTTATTAAGTCCACGAAATGTGAATGACATTCCTTAAAGATACCGACAACTACTTAATAGAACTATACTGGTATTTCTATCCCATTCATAGTAATAGGTAGCTATAGACTCAAGTTAGGGTACTGCAATGGGAACTGATGATGTCCCTAATAATTATATTCAGACTGTACAGTGACACTTGTTTTGCCAAAATTGGGGCTGTGATGTAGTGTAGGTACAGAACAATGGTGATCCTACAGATAACTGATGATTCACTACCAAGGTACCTCAGTCTAAAAATCAATTCATTCTTTTATGAAATTGTCCAGTTAAAATCAGCTCCCTTTCTCACCTGAAAGTGGGACAAGCTCAATACAGATTATTCAATCAGTCCATTCTTCTCAACCAAAGAAACATATGGAAGATCGATAAGAAAAAAAAGATGTCAGCCTTGGATCAGTGGGAACCGGGTACCTGACAGATTTCTCTGTATTTCTTCCTACTCAGTACATTGTTTGCAGGTTGGCATGGGCCTGCTCCACGAGCAGCATGTTCTGTTTCATTTTGTCCCTCATATTATTTTTCTCTGATAGTGATTAAACTAATTCCTTCTATTTGAACCTGCCTTTTAAAGCATTCCCATAGCATTATTCTGCTCTGATACTGTTCAGTCTTTTCTTTTGTCTAGCAAATGTTGTCCAAGTCTCACTACTGTAGAGGAGTGCACGGAGGATGTAGACTTGATAGACCCTCAGTTTGATATTCACAGCAGTTGTTCCACCCACTTTCACCTTGACACAATGTGTGTGTTAATTTTAGTATCAAGTGCTAATTACTAGTGATTGTAAAACTTAGATATGTGAAATTATCAACACCTCCAGCATCATGTTATCAGTGCTGAGAAATAGTAGTATGGTAACACCCTGAACTATGACATTTGACTTCCCGATGTGGACAGTCAAACCGAACTCTTTACATGCATGAGAGAGACAATGTCTGTCAACTTGCTGCTGCAATCATTCCTTGGTGTGGAATGTTAGTAAGGCATCATTAACATGGAGCAACTCTCCAGCAAGGATTTGGTGCACCTTGGATCTCAGAATACTGTTCAACCTTGTCTTGCCAATCAGTTTTGTTGTGTATGCAGATACCCTCTGCTGATTCCATCAGTGTATACTCACATACCCAAAGATCCTTTTAATTGTCCACTGGATCACAGACTCTTGGGTTCCACACCCCTGCTACAAGCAAAATATGAAGATGGCAAATGTTGACACTGACAACTGGGAGACAGACTCAAGAAGACATGGCCTCTAGAGGGCGACTGTTTGGAAGGGCATTGGGAGAGGTAAGCAGGAACAAAATGCTCAGTTGGTTGAGAAGAGAGCTTAAAGAAAACAACAGTCAATGAATCATACATTCTCTTATTTCACTGTTTTCCTTTACAGCAAATGTGGAGGCTAAGGAAATTCGGCATGTCCACAGGACACTCACAAACTTTTACAAATGCACCAAAGAAAGCATTCTATCTGGACACATCACAGCTTGATATGGCAACTGCTTTGCCCAGGACTGTAAGAAACTACAAAAGTTGTGAACACTGCCCAGGTCATTAGGCAAGCCAAGCTTCCATCCATTGACTCCATCTACACTCCTCATTGCCATGGAAAGGCAGCCAACATCAAAGACCCCTCCCACCCTGGTCATAATCTTTTCAAACCTGATCAATCAGGCAGAAGATACAAAAGCTTAAAACACATGCACCAACAAGTTCAAGAACAATTTCTACCCCGCTGTTATTAGACTTCTAAAAGAACTTCACAAATTTCAAATCTAATGTCGATCTTGCTTTTTGTACAGCTTCTTTGCAACCATAATTTATATTCCTCGCCCTGTTCTATCACCCTATGATCTTTTTGGTTCTGTATGCGTGCTGCTTGAAACAAAACTGACCGTCACAATGAAAACTGCCACATGCTACAATGTGATAATACCATCTAGTTAGTCCCTCTCAACTTTGTAGCTATTGCCACTTAGTACAAATTTTAAAAAAAGGAATTATTTTACATAAGAACATAAGAGCTAGGAGCAGGAGTAGGCCATCCGGCCCTTCAAGCCTGCTCCGCCATTCAATAAGATCACGGCTGATCTTTTCGTGGACTCAGATCCACTTACCCGCGTTCTCACCGTATCCCTTAATTCCTTTATTGTTCAAAAAAAATCTACCTTATCTTTAAAAACATTTACTGAAGTAGCGTCAACTACTCCACTGGGCAAGGAATTCCATAGATTAACAACCCTCTGGGTGAAGAAGTTCCTTCTCAATTCAGTCCTAAATCTGCTCCCTCTAATCTTGAGGCTATGCCCTCTTGTCCTAGCTTCACCTGCCAGTGGAAACATCCTCTCTACTTCTATCTTATCTATTCCTTTCATAATTTTATATGTTTCTATAAGATCCCCCCTCAATCTAATTACACGCTAAACACTTCATTTCGCAGTCACATTTAATCTGCAAACACAAGTATAATTCAGAGGTCACAGAAGTAGGATAAAGTCACATCTCTGGGGAAAGCCAGATAAACAAAAACAAAAATAATATTTTATAATTCCAAACAGTCCTCTGTTCTCACAGATTCGGAATTTAGTTCTGCTCCCTAACAAACGAGTACAAAAAATATGCCCAATTCCAACTGTTACACTTCAAGGATTGCAGATGCTTAATCCATCTCCCAATTTTCTCCCCATGATGTCAACTCTACTGGAGTTTCACCATTAATACTCTCTTTGGTCCAAAACAAGAAATTTATCATTAAATTTCACCACATGAGAGCAGAAACACCTAACAGATAAAGTTGCAATTTCTAATTTGGAACTACTGGTACTAATCTCAGTAATGTTCAGAATATAAAGCATGGAACAAGAATGCATCATCTGCTCTGCCAGCAACTCATGAGCAATTTCTAATCTTGCCACAGTGACTGCATCATTAGGAACTTGGCTGTCACAACAGAACTCAAATTTCACTTACCTCCCTTTTCATGATTTTATCAATCAGTGGAAATATTTTTCCTAGGGAGAGTAAAAGATCTTCAAGCATTGGAAGTGCACAGTCACCACCACCACTGTGGAAAAATTTGGAAAATGGTTTCAAGACATCACAAGGAAGGTTAATCTCAAACTGAGAAGAAAAAATAAGTATAAAATGTAGCATCATTTATATTTTTCTGAATGAGTCTTTTCCACATAGACGCATCATATCGTTGCTTTGTAGCCCCAAAAAGAAATTGGAATTTCTCTTCATATGTAAAAAAAAATGCGGTTCTATCTCAAGTTAGTAATATGCTTCTCCCCCAGCTATTAACCCCCTTTTAAACATTCTCAAATGTTTCTTTTACAATATAGGAGAAATCTAAACCAGCCAGTCTATTCTCAATCATCAATAAAGCATTGTAAGGGGTAGTCTATAGTGCTATCTATCAAGTGGCACTTGCTCAGGAATAACCTGCTCACTGGTGCCCAGTTTGGGTTCTACCAGAGCGACTCAGCTCCTGATCTTAATATAGCCTTGATCCAAACATGGACAAAAGAGCTCACAGAAGTGAGTTGAGCGTGGCTACCCTTGATCATATGACAGCATTTGACCAAGTATAGCATCAAGGAGCCCGAGCAAAACAAAAGCCAATGGTAATCAGGAGGCACGCTCTTTGCTGACTGGAGTTGTACCTAGCAGAAAGGAAGACAGCTGTGGTCGTTGGAGGACATTTATCTCAGTCCCAGGAGCCAGGAATTCCTCAGACCAGTGTCCTATTTCTAACCATCTTCAGCTGCTTCATCTATGACCTTCCTCCTGTCATAATGTCAAAAGTGGGAATATTCACTGATAACCGCACAATGCTCAGTATCATTTGTGATGCTTCAGATGCTGAGGCAATCTGTGTCCATATGCAGCAAGATCTCGACATCTAGGAATGGACTGGTAAGTGGCAAGTAACATTTGAACCACACAAGTGCCAGGTAATGACCATCTCAAACAAGAGAGAACCTAATCATGACACCTATATAATCAATAGTATTACCATCATTGAACGCTGAACCCTCAAACAACATCTTGGGGGTCATCATTGACCAAAAGCTGAACTGGACTAGTTATATAAGAACTGGCTACAGGAACAGGTCAGTGACTAGGAATTCTAAATGGAAAAGAATGCTCCATTCACAAGACACAGGGTGGTAACCGACTAAGGCAAAACCCATTGAAGAACAATGGCAGTGGCTGCATGAGGCCACCTCCACCAGCCACAAAAAGATCCCCACTAAGTCACACAATATCCTGATTTATAACGATATCAGTATTCCTTCACGTTGCTGGGTCAAAATCCTGGAACTCTTCGTAACATCACTGTAGTATCCTTACATCAAACGAATGTAATGGCTTGATAAGGCAGCTCACCAATACATTCACCAGAAGGATGGGCAATACATCCATGAACAAATGGGCTAAAAAATAGATAATTGTCCATTCTTGTCAAATTAAGATATCAAACTAAGAGATGTGCATTTCCTAGATTGTATACTAACTTTCTGAAACATTGTAG